TATTTCAGATTACTTGCATGATGTAATTTCAGAATCGTGCATCAGACGACTTAACATTTTTCGTGAAAAAACGAAGACGTTTCGTAGGGACCATAATGTAAAAATGTCTCCCACATCGATAGTTTATTGTACAAAGTAGCCTACTTTTCCGTAGGGATGTAATTTAGCATCCTATTGGAGGGTCTCGTTCTGCAAACTGATACATTTACTCCAATAGTTGATCTGCACCAATCTCAATTTTTTCTTGCAAGTTGACTCTTTCCGCAGTTTGAATTTAAGAATTATACGCATACAGTTCATGTTGAAATCAGATGATGTATATTTCTTCTTAAATGCCATTTTCTTAACTGGAGTATTCTAAACTGGCGAGGAGGTTTTATTATTTTTTTAAATACTTGTAAGAACTTGTCCATTACAATATTGTTAGGCTCAAATTCAACAACACGCGTAATCATAACACAAGGACGTTTTAAATTAATAATAAAGAATAAGATTACAGAAACTGTCTACCAAATGAAATAATGTAGGTACTAATGAACACATGTGCTAGAGAATATTATTTTCGTAACATCACTTTTTCATCGGGAGATTCTCTATTAGTCTCAAGAGATAGTAAAAAAGGTCCTGCCATCTAGGAAAATTCTTCAGTTGTTATCGAAATAGTGATCATTTATATTCAGACACTTAATCCAGAAAATAATTTGTTTGCCATCCATTTTAACCTTCTCAGCCGTCTCCACAAGCTTTTTGTGCTCTTCTTTTCACCTTTTCTTTCCCTGTTCCTCCCTAGCAACCTGCAAATGTCTGCCCTCCTCTTTCCTCTGAAATATATCTGTAGGCCTAAAGTCAGTACTCCGCACACACCTTTATCACTCCTCTTTCTCTATCAATCTCTATATCTCCAATTCTGCACGCTGTCTCCATCATATTCTTGTTTCAAATAAAACATGCTGGTTCTTAATTTCGTTTTTCTTCTTTTTCTACAATATTTGCTTCCAAAGCACTCGTTATCTCTGCACCTGTGCTAAAGTCCATGATTGAAAGCTCAAATCGATAAACCCCTTTTGTGTATTCTCATCTCATCTCTCTATTGGCCATCCGCGTCCCCGCCTCCGCGTCCCCGCCTCCGCGTCCCCGCCTCCGCGTCCCCGCCTCCGCGTCCCCGCCTCCTATTCTTTGCTCTCACATGCGCGCCTTCTCGCTGCAGCGACTGCACGCGCCCAGCTGTGTCCATTCTTCTCAGTCGTCCGTCCGATATTCTGATTTTATTTTAAGCGGCATATTTTCAGTTCTGAACGGAGCTAGCGCGCGAGCTTACTTCATCTTTGTAGCGCCGAGTTGGCACGCCGCATCGGATCTGGCAGAGATGCCATCGCGACCGGGCGAGAAATCGAATAGCAAGAGCGAAAAATATGACGCAAAAGAAAAGGGAAGTTACACATGCCAGGCATTAACGAGACGTGAGAAAGAACATTTTATTTCGCATAAAATGTTGTTGTACTGACACGCAAAATGAAAATTACTTTGATTTTCGCGCAGCATGATTTGAAAGAAGATATTATGATTACGATGTACGAAAAATATGCTAATTGAATTGGCCTACTGAAAATAACATGCATATCCTTTTTATCAAAATTCTGGCAAATTAAGTCGTTGATACTTCAGACATCGGAAATAGAGAAACAGACAGTTGTTGTGTGAGGTGTGAATTAGCTCGTGACCTTTCAGCAAATGTTTCTTGGGATGTATAAACAACCATTTCTATTGCGTGATAAATATATTCCAGATGTTCCTAATACTCGTATATTTTTGTTCGTTTCCCATGATCAAAATAATACTATTTTCCTCCATAAATTAACTAATTTATTCTCGTTCTGTAATTCGTTAACTCGTTCCCATTTCGAGATCGTAACTGATATTTCAACACTCAAATTATGGCCTATTAGACACAAGCTGTTTTATTTCATGTGTGTGACAAATATGTTATTTATTTCGATTATTTTCAAACATAACTCCTACTTCTAGAATTTTGTTACTTTTCTTTATTTCTATAAGAGTCTGATAGTGGAAGTTTCCAGTTTTTCGTAAAAACATAAAGGAAGTTATTCATGGCTAACAATCTGAATCTCTCAGGAAAAGTAGAATCTTATGAATTTTAAAGAATCTCAATGAATCAAAAATGTGAAATTTCGAACAATCTTACAAAATATGTCGCAATAACGAGAAACAATCTGGCTTAACGTGTAAACAACGCGCTTCACGTATTCTCCTGACATTATTTTCGTGTATTTGGAATTTATGCAAAGGGAAAAAATAAACATATTGTCCTTTTATTTTATTTTGTTTATTTATTCTTTTCAAACTATTATCTTTATTTTTCTCATTTTGTAAAAGCATTTAGTTGAAGTGGAATATGTATTATATAATCGAAGTAAGTAAAACTTGGTGTATGTCTTCATTTTCCCGAGAAATCATATATCAAAAACTATCTTTCGCTCTTTAATGTAAATATTAAATGGATAATTTTAACTCATTTTAATGTAAGCAATTCCGATACAATAAAGGTCAAATGAAATGGTGTTGTTCGGGTGAATTGGTGCACGGGAACGTTCTTAGAAATATTTGCAAACAATTCTCTCTCTTGTTGCACCATTTGTAATTCATTATGATTGTTCCAATAGATTGCAATGAATGTGTTTAATAATGTTATTGCATTATAAATTTTATTGTCTGTCTGACTAGTGCAATTGATTTCCGAGATAATGGTAAATTCATTTGAAACAAGATATACTCGCTCATCAAATAATCGTTTTCTTCTTTTCCCTACAAAGAATTAATTGATTTTTTTCAATGAAAGTATGGAAAATTTGGAATACATTAATTTGAAACATAATGATTACACATTAACACTTTGAAATTTAATAACTTTCAGAAAAATCTCTTTTTCTGTAATATTCCAAATCCACAATTTTATATGAGCTCTTAGCTGGTGCAATATAATTAATTAAAAATTGAAAATATTAAGATCTAATTAAACACAATTTACAAAATTTAAATAATACCACAATACCAACATTACAGGAATAAAATTTGTCGGTTAGGAAGCGGCTTAAATCATAGTAATCGTCGGACATTGTCCTTTGGAGGAGTACCCTCACGCGAATTCGCGAGATACTTTACAAGGCGTCAGTTTGCGTTTAGTGTTACTCCGAAATCACGTGTCGCAGTACGCAGTATTGTTTGTCACCTCATATATCATTCTGGTCGCTTCTGTCCGTGCGCGGGCAAAGATATTAGACTTTTCTATGAATCTGTTCATTTCAGGTTGAGTGTGGAATGAATCATTCGCAGCCAATTGAACCGAGCATTAAAGGCTTTTGCGTCTTGTACTGTGATCTTCTTTACCGTACATTCTTATATTGTTATAATTTTACTCAAGCTATTGTGTTATTGTATTATTGAAGTTATCGGTGGAACATTACTAGCTTCTCTAACATCCTTAAGCTTTTCTCGTCGTTATATGTCTGATTTTAATTATTAGGGAGCGCAGGCGGAGTGAGCCTACGCTCGTCGCCGAGTAACCTTAGCCCAAGAATAGGCGTGGCGCAGAGCGCAGGGCGCGGCGGCGGCGCGACTGTGGATGAGCAGGACTCGCGACCCTGCCCCCCCCCCTC